GGGCATGGAAAAAACTGAGGTCAGATAGTATCCACTTGTTTTTCCACTTGTTTTTCCTATACTCCTCACAAGTAAGGAGTCTGTGCAATACTCCAACTTACTTGCTGAAGAACGCTGAACTAACAGCTCTGCTACTGAGTCACAGCAAAAAAGAGATAACTCCAACATAATGGGACAGGGAATAAACTAGAGCAGTACATTACTTAAACACCCAGTAGAAAGTGATGTGCCATTAAAGATGATGATTTAAGGATCATGTAAATTCACAGCAGGGAGAAGTTACAGTTATGCAATGCATAATACCCAAGTGGGCAACATCTGACCATATACACATCTATGGTCCCATAAGGTTATAATAGAGCTCAGAAATTCCGATCAGAGAATAGGATGCAGTGAACACAACAGCTTCCTGCACACAACGTGTATTTCATGTCCCTTGTATACAAACAACTGCATTTCCAGGTACATAATGATACAGTACCCACATAACATAATACATGTGTCTTGATAGTCATAATAAACACCTATTATTGGCTTATGTAGGAGCTCTGGTAGCATAGTGCCTAAGGTACTTGACTGCTAACCAGAAGGCTGGTGGTTCAAACGCACCAGCCACTCCTCAGAAGGAAGATGGGGTAATCTACTTCCATAGTGATACTGCCTTAGAAACCCAAGGAGGGGTCGCTATGAGTCGAATCCGACTCAATGGCACATAGCAACAACAACAACATTGGCTTATGTATATACTGTACTGTACTGTCTATCTAAAAAGTTTACTATATAATAGTGTATGCTCTGATTCATAGGCAGCAGTATCCAATCTTGTGCACTATGTGTCTCTTGAATGAATGTTGTAGCATTACCCGTTTAATTTTCTTTAGAAAATATTACTGTAAAGTACATCATAGCTCCCAAATGCAGCAAAACCAATGCTAATAATAGCAGCAGCAAGAGGCAAAACAGAAGTATTGATTTGGAAGTGAAACAAATGGTTATTAAACAACACGAAGGTGGAAAACCAATGTTACTGCTTACAATTTAGGCATGTTGCACTTGACAGTCACAATGATCCTCTGAAAAAATTCTCCAAGGTGCTAAAGGATAGGTTCCACTAAAAGCTACAGACTAATGAAAATGCAAGAGGGACCTATGTTAGATATGGAGAAATTGCTAATGATGTGGATTGAAAAACAAACACAAAAGCTAATCCCTCTCAGCACAATGATCATCACTGTTAAGGCATAAAGCTTGTTCGAGATGCTTAAAGAAAAAGCAGGACCAGACTATGATCTGGTGTTTGTATAACATTCAAATCACACAACATCCTATTTCACAGAATATATTGTGGATGCTAAGCTACACATGACTTTATTTTTGACTCCAAGGTAGAGGAGGAATGAAAATTCATAAAAGGTTTCAGTAGAGGAAGTACAGATGGGAAAGGTAGAATTTTAAAATGGAGAGAAAATACCATTCACAGAGGCAATAACCAAGGATGGACGTGAGAAATGAAGTCAGGTGATGGGCTTTGAATCCCCTTTGAGTACAGCTTCGTTCCATAGGGCTCTCCTCAAGAGGGAGAATATGAGATGGTGTCCAGCTACGACTGCTAACCACTCAGAAAAGGATCAAATTGGAAATCCTAGAAGCATCAGGAATAAAATTCAAAGTCATTAAAAAAAACACCAGGCTTACTGGTCTGACAAAGAATGGTGATCCCCAGAGACAATGGCCCCTAGTCACCCTTCGGGCCTGTAACTGAACTAACTTGCTTGCTTTAACCTTCAGCCAAACAACAGGCCTACAACAATCACACCAGGAAGGTGCACTCCTTAGAACAATTAGCCATGGGAGATCAGAAGGGCAGAGAAAGCAGAGAAGGCAGGAATGCACAGGAAAGGCTACAGGCAAAAGGTAACCACAGAGAGGAAGTGGGAAGAGAGCTATTACATCATGGGGATTGCAATCAGTGTCATGAAACAAAATGTGTATGAACTGTTGAATGGAAAACGAATTTGCACTGTAAACTTTCACTCAAATCACAATAAAAAGCTGAAGGAAAAAAAAAAAGATAGACTATGACTTTTTTTTACATACTGACAACAAATGTAGGATAATTTGCAGCGAAAGGCTGAAACCAGTGAGTGGCCATTATATGCCTGACATTGCTTGGAATGCTATATGGACATTAAGTGATAGAATCTTCAAAATAATTTTATGGAAAAAAAAAAAAGGGACCAGGTTTGCTGGTCTGATACAGCTTGGTGGAACCACTGTGACTATGGCCCCTAGCTGCCCTGCAGGTCTGGAACTGAACCCATTCTTGTGGCTTCCAGCCAAACAAGATAGGCATATGAGCTGAACATTTTACATTAGGCAGACATTCCTTGGAGAGATCAATCATGGGAGAATAGAAGGGCTGTGTATACACAGGAAAACAGCTCAGGGGGAAGGAGTACATGGAGGGGAGGACACAGGGAAGAGATAACTACGGGGAAGAAACAAGAGGGGAGCTGTTGCATTGTGGAAGATTGCAGTCAATGTTATGAGACAAAGTGTACATGAGCTACTGTATGGAAAGTGAATTTGCTCTGTAAACTTTCACCCAAATCATAATAAATATTAAAAAATAATAATTTTATGAGTTAGGTTTGTTAGGTACCACCGAGTTGATTTTGACTCTGTGAAACCCCATCAAGACACTATCTAGTTCTTCACCACTACAGTTCCTTTGAGTACTAAAAAAACAACCAAACTCACTGCCTTTGAGTCAGATCCAACTCTTAGCATCCCCTCCTCGGGTTTTCGAGGCGGTATCCCTACGGGAGTAGATTGCCCAACCTTCCTTCCAAAGAGTGGCCGGTGGGTCTGAACTGCCAGCCTTCTGGTTAGCAGTCAAATGCCTTAGGCACTATGCCACCAGACTAGGTCATGTAAAATTTTTAACTGTGGGTCAAGGTTAAAAATGTTTGAAAGCCACTGGCTTGGCACCTATCCCTTCTCTTCTTCCATACTTGGAAAATTCTTATTTTTCTACCTAAGTGAAGGCTTCCTTGGCCAAGGCTTTTCTGACACTCACTGAGTACTTACCACATTATGTTTCCATGTCCCCTACAGTAATGAAACCAAAAAGAGTAGGAAGTCTTATTCATCTTTCAGTGCTGAAGAGTGGTTTCTATCCTACACTTAGTCCAAGAGACTCCTATACCTCATCCTGAAATATTCACCCTTATAGACAAAGGTGATTTTGAGACTCTAACTAAAATACACCACTTCCAGTCAAAGAACAGATAGGAATATAGGATGAACATTTACATCCAGCAGATACACTCCTTAGAAGGATCAATCATAGGAGAACAGAAGGGTAGTATTTACACAGGGAGATAGATAGCTCAGGGGGCAGGAATATGTAAGAAAGGAGGACACAGTAAAGAGGTAACTACAGGGAGGAAACGGGAAGAAAGCTGTTACACTGTGGGGAACTGCAGTCAATGTCATGAAACAAAATGTGCATGAACTGCTGTATGGAAAATGAATTTGCTCTGTAAACTTTCACCTAAATCACAATCAAAATTTAAAAAAAAAAGTTGCATAATTCTATGATGCAATACTATTCAAGCCTTTTTTTAAAAAGTATCTATGCCACAACATGAATAAACCTTGAAAAATTATGCTGAGTGAAAAAGTCAGTCACAAAGGAACAAATACTGTATAATCTTGCTTATATGAAATAAGCAAACATAGAAACTAGACATTACTGGTTATCAGTGGAGGAGGGAGTTTTTGTTTGGTCATTGAATTTATGTTAAAGATCATGGAATGTTTTGAATGAGGATAGAGATAATGGAGATACAGGAAAAAGGTAACCAATGCCACTGAGTCCTAAATGTGGAGATGTTTTAGTGTGGATAAAAAATAAGAGAAAAAAGAAAAGTATTATAGGTCACAAAAGCTGTCCAAGAGTTTGTTATTTGAACAACTTAAGGTGCAAAACAATACATATAAAATGATCCTACTGTTTTTAAAAAATGTATGGGCAGAAAAAAGTCAGGAAGGATTTAACCTCAAGCAGTAATAATTGCTAGCCTGAGTAGGGATGGTGGACTGTTACTTTACACTTCAATACTGTTTGTTTTTTTTAATAACAAGCAGATTTTATTTTTTAACTGTAAAATAATCCTAACCAGTATTGTTAAATAAAATGTTGTGAAGTAAATACTTCCAAACTTTTCGTATCATAAATGTATGAGAAACGAGAGGACTAAAAACTGAGATGTAGTATTGCTTAATACTTAAAGGTTCAAAGCATCTTTGACGGATTTCTCTACGGGCCCACACATTCCAAGCCTTAGACCACACAGATCTTTAATAAAGAAGAAAAAGAACAACACCATTTGTTCTGGTGTAGCTCTGAAGCAACGATTTTAAAACATTAAGGTGTTTAAGAATCACTGGGAGGTATGCTAATTAAAACACATATTCCCGAGTCCCGTCTCATTTTCTGTTTCGGGAAGCCTGGGTGTGACTCCCAAAATGGGCATTTTCAAACAAGCACTTAAGTGTGACTGATACAGACTGTCTGCAGCCTGGAAAAATACTACCTTAAATCCTTAAGAAATATGGAAGTCATTCTCCCTGCCTACCTCTCTCTCACTCCTTTTCTCCAAAGTGCCTCGATAATCCCCTTAAAACATCGTCAATCCAACTATTTCGATTTTAAGTTTGCAACTTGTTGGCAGAAACATCATCACAGTCCACTTCCATTTTTATCTTTCGCGAACCTCCAGTGCGCGGGAGTTCATCTTATAACCCTTCCCCCCAAAAGCCCTTCTTCCGCCCGGCATCCCCGTCCCCGCCACCCACGCCTGAAGCTCCTCCCGCCCGTTACCCATCTCCGGGGCCCACAGAATTGGCAGCACTGCCGCCTGCTCCTCAGATCGTAGCTCGACTTCCCACTCCCAGACTACTGACACCTCGCAGATGAAACTGAAGAGCCACACCTTACGGCCACTCCATGAGTCGCTCCCCCGCCGAGCCCGGGGGAAGGGATGTCACTCACACAGCCTAAAGCCTCGGCAGCATTTTGAAACGGCGAGTAAAGAAGGCGCAACTTCCGGCCTCTCAAACCCAGCTCTTACAGGAACTTCCGGTGAAGCATTCGAAAGTCATAGATAGGAACATTTGGAGGACTAGAGAGCTAGAAAGGCTGAGCTTTTCTACCATAGAGCAGATCTTAATCCGTGGAGAGAGGGTTGCAGGATCTCGGAGAGTAAAAGGTTTCAAGAGAAAAGATTTTGAGGAAATTGCAGCGTCTTGTGATATCTATAGGAGTGCTGGTGTCGTAGTACCTAAGGTATTTGACTGCTAACCAGAAGACTGGCGGTTGAAACCCACCAGCCACTCCTCGGAAGATCAGGCAATCTACTTCGGTAGTGATAACTGCCTCGGAAACCCAAAGAGGGGTCGCTATGAGTTGATTCCCACTGGAGAGCAGTGAACTTGTTTTTTTGGTTTTTGTGATATTTACAGATGTCCCCCTACGAAATCAGAAAACAGGAAGAGAAGCTTAAGAGCATAATCAGAGACAAACTTCAATTCTTTGAAAAAGCTACTTTCCCTTTGCCACTACCTTTGTTCTAAAGTGTTAACTTGGCCCCAGTGTGATTTACTCATTCTTGCTCGCTAGGGGTGGCTGGAAAGACGAAACAGAACTTCCTAGTGCTGTAGCTAATTGAGTGAGACAAGACTAGTATACACACGAGTAACTACAAGATATTATGTGAGAAGTGCGACAATAGCGCTTACTTTGGATCACACAATCGGGTCTTTTGGTCTAATCTTGCTCCCAATATACAAACGCCTTCAACAAAACTCTCAGGCAAACCGTCTTTAACGTCTGCCAGTGTCAAATAGTTCAGTGCCTCCTCCAAATACCTAATTTCATTCATTTCGGCATGAGTCCAAATGTTAGAAGATTTTACTGAGCTGAAATACGTTGTCTTGTAATTCTTTTGGTCCTAGTTTTGCACTTTAAAGAACAAAGAGTAAGTCTTCACTCTTGCCGATCTGAACAGTATTCATTTATTTGAAGATACCATGCCCCATCCCTAACCCTTCTCCTTCCCCTCAAGCTGAAAATCACAAGGAGCATTCAACTACTTCTTTGATATGGCTTCCAGCCCCCTTGCCACCCTGTTTGCAAGGTAGAAAAGCAACATCTTCTGGAAAAGCATCTCTGTCCTGTTTGAAATGTTGTTTCCAAAACTAGATACCTGTGCAAGGTAAAATGGAGTAATGACTTCCCTTAATTTGTACATTATGCCTTGCTCTACTTCTAGTGTCACCTGTATAGGTGGGAGATCCAAGTTCTGTATGTACAGTTGAATAATTAATTTCTTTTTCACAGTTGCTTATAGTCAACAACCACCTCCCTCAAAAAGGGTGAGAGGTTTTTTTAGGTAAACTGCTTTAACTGTTTTCCCTAGTCTGTATTCCATATATATTCTCTAACAAGTATTTGCTTTGTCTATTTTAAATAGCCTCTAGTGGTTTTGGTCCTTTACTATCTCCGGTTGTTGTTGTTAGATGCCTGGAGTCATAGAGACACTATCTCCTAGAGTCTTGAAATTCTGATCCAGTCATGCAATTCAGGTTGATTTGAAAAAGATGCTCAACTTTACTGATAGCATAAGATATATACATAGATATATGTTGTTGTTGGTTGTTGTTATGTGCGGTAGAGTCGGACCCGACTCATAGCGATCCCTCCTTGGGTTGCCGAAGCAGTATCACTATGCTACCAGAGCTCCCATATAGATATATAGGTATATGTATACACACACACATACATATACTATAAATCAAAACCACAATGAGAAATCACTTCACAGCAGTCAGATTGGTCTTTAAAATATCTGAGAAATAGGAAGCATGAGGGAGTTCTGGTAGCATCGTGCCTAAGGCACTTGACTGCTAACCAGAAGGCTGGTGGTTCAAACCCACCCGCCACTCCTTGGAAGAAAGATGGGGCAATCTACTTCCATAGTGATACTGCCTCGGAAACCCAAGGAGGGGTCACTATAAGTCTGGTCCGATTCAATGGCACATAACAACAACAGCAAGCATGAGCAAAAAATGTGGAACAACAGAATTCTTACATATTCCTGTCAAGACTGTAAACTGTTAACACTTTGGAGAGGACTTTGATGTGTGATCTAATAGAGTTAGTTGTGTGAATAGTGTATGACTCAATAATTGCATTCTCTCTGGTGCACATGGAGACAAGTACAAGAATGTGGAGAGCAGCATTGTTTTGAACAGCAAACAATTGAAAACATCTAAGTGTTATCTAAGGAGGAGATGAATAGAGAAATCATGGTGTATTCATTACTATATAACAATTCATTATACAATTATACAATTTAACAATTCATTACAGTAAAAATGAACTAATTATAACTGTGAATCAATACCAATGAAGTTTGCAAAAATGTAAGTTGCAGTAGAATACGAAGTTTTATGCCATATATAAAACATTTAGAAGCATAACAAATTTTTTTTATGAATATATGCACCTAAATTCTACAGCAATGCATGGCAGAGGAAACCAGACTTAGAAGAATGGTTCTTTTTAAGAAGGGCATAGCGTGGTAGAGGGAATGTGGGGAACTTCTTTGTATAAAAAGTATTGTTCCTTCTTAGGCAGAGTGGTGGTCTAGAGATAGTGGTCTTTCTGAAGAATGACAATGATGTTTGTACCTTTTTTATGTCTGAATTGTTGTTGTTATTTGCTGTCGAGTCGAACCCAACTCACAGCGACCCCTCCTTGGGTTTCCAAGGCAGTGTCTCTACAGAAATAGATGGCCCAACCTTCCTTTTGAGGAGTGGCTGGTGGGTTTGAACTGCCAGCCTTCTGGTTAGCAGAAGAAAGACTATGAAGACCAATAACATTGACTTCTAATTCCTTCAGAACTGGAAGGGGCCTTAGAAAAATCACCAAATTGCTTATTCATCTCTTTTGTCCTATTTTCTATTGTCGCTTTTTTCTTATGAATTTGTAGCTATTTTTATACAATCTGGATATTAAGCCTTCTTTTATATATCACAAAGAACATCTTCAAATCTATAGCTTGTGTTTATTTTTAAAATATTATCTTTTGATAAGTCAGATTTATTTATAATTTTATTTAGGTTTTGTTTTTCTTTTTTCTATATTATTAAGTGATTCTTCACTGTTATAGGATCATAAAAATGTACTTCTATATTTTCTTCTAAAAGTTTTAAAGCTTTTCTGCTCACATTTAGGTCCTTAACCCAACCAGAAATTGTGTTTTTGTGTGTGTGTGCACATTGTAACAAAGAGATCCGGGGTTATTTTTCTATTTGAATAATAAACATGACAGCTCCATTTATTGAATTAATCTTTCCTTCCTATTTAACGTAAGATTGAAGGTTTTTAGAAGAGACTGAGTAGGACTTCAAGAGGCAGAGACGGGAGAACTCATTGAAAGAAGATGCATGGCATAAAGAGTAGGCAGAGGAAAAATGAGAGGAGTCAACTTGGATTTAAGTTTTGGTTACTGTGTAGAAGAAGATGAGCATAGTATCAAATCACACCCTGCAACATAGTAGCCACCAGCCATAAGTAGTTTGAAATGTAGCCAGTCCAAACTGAAATGTGCTATGAGTGTAAGATACACTTTGGATTTCAAAGGACTTGGAAAAAAAAAGAATGTAAGATATCTCATTAATGTTTTATTTTAATTGTGTGTTAAAATGTCGACATTTTGGATATATAGTATTTGAGTAGAATATATTATTAATATTAATTTCACCTGTTTCTTTTCACTTTTTTTTTAATGTGGCTACTAGAAATTTTTTCATTATTTGTGTGGCTTGTTTTATATTTCTGTTGGAAAGCACTGGTATAAAATGCTAGCAAAGTGGGCTGGGGGCAGATTGGAGAGGGTTTTGAGTGCTGCTATGAAACATTCCATTCAATAAGTGGTAGGGGACAGTCGAAGGATCTTGAGCAAAGAAAACTCACTGCTGTCGAGTCGGATCCCACACGGATGCAGTACCACTATGGAAGTAGGTTGCCTAATCTGCCTTCTGAGGAGTGGCTGGTGGGTTTGAACCACCAGTCTTCTGGTTAGTAGTCAAATGCCTCAGGCACTACCCCACCAATATTCTTGATGTGATGATTCAGCATCCCATCTGATGACACAGCGAGGCATGGAAACCTTTCCACCATTAGCTCTGGGTAGTATTTGGGGATGTGATTTTTATAGAGAAACTTGGTATGGAATCCCTGGTCTTTACTAATGTAACATAAATGGAATGAAAATCGTGTGTGCTCCTTTGAGTGGGAAAATGGAACATTAATGAGCCACATTTTCAATAGCTCCCCATAGCTTCTGTGATAAAATTACTCTTTTTTGCCTGGAATTAACCTAATATTGTCAGCTTTTCCAATTCTCTACATTTTTCTTCAGTCTAACCAAATGTGTTGACTTTGCTGAAGATTGGATGGTAGAAAGAGAGTAGCCGAAGGAGTCTGTTCTTGTTCCAGCTTTGCCTTTAAATCTTCATACAACTTATTGAATGTTTATTATATATCAGACACTGTTCTAAACAATTTACATATATTATTTAATTCTCATAACACTCTGGGATCCTGAGACACAGAGAAGTAGGTTGCTCCAGATCACACACTAGTAGCAAAGAAAAGGCAGTCCAACTTCAGAACTCCAGCTTTGTAAGAGCATATATTTTCTCTTTCATTGTACATATATCAATCTTTTCTTAAAAATAAAAATAAATTTTGAGATGTTTCCCAACTAAATAATATTTGTAGATTTTCTCCATGTGATAGTCATGATAACATGATTATTAATGGCTGCATAACATTCCATATTAGGATGTACCATCATTTATATAGTCATTTATGTTGTTTCCAATTTTTTCCAATTAAAATGTCACAATCACCTCTCCTGTAGTCATATCTTTTTGTTCATCTCTGATTATTTATTTACTTATTGGACAAATTCTAAAAGTAGAATTGCTGGGCCAGAGCAATGATTCCTAACACAGGCAAGGAGGGGATTAAAGGAAGACA